GCCTGACATTGGCACTCCCTCCTCTGTGGCTCCATTCGCAGCTCTGCTTTGCCTTCGCCTTCGCAGCTCTGCTTCAACTTCGCCGTTCGCCTTCGCCTTCGCAGCTCTGCTTCGACTTCGCCATTCGCCTTCGCCTTCTCCGTTCACCTTTGTAGCTCATGTAGCAAGTCACGAGTCTCCATAGTCCATCCTCTCCTCACTGTCGTCCTACTTCACCTTCGTCGTTCACGGACGTCCTGCTTCACCTTCGATGCAGACATTGAGTTGTAGCCTTGTGGGTAAGCTCAATACCTTTTCTTTTCACCTTCGTTCAGGCATTGAGTTGTTTTAGCTGCTTCTGTCTGATAGCTACTGGTTAAAGCAATTTTTTGGGTCATTAGTAATGAACGACTCGTGAGATATGAGAAGGGAGGGGAGTGTCTTGATCCATAGTCGTGAGATTTGAGAATGGAGGAGAATATAAACATTTAAACTACTTTTGAGTTTTGACTTGATCCATCGCCGTGAGACTTGAGAAGGAAGGGGAGTGTTGTTTGACTTATTAGTATATTGATGAAGATATGTATTCTTAATATTCATTTTGTATAATTAAACATTTAAACTACTTTTTCTTATATTCCCTTCAGTGATTATTAGTTTATTACTTATGAATTTTGTTTCACTTAATTGTTATGAATTAAATTTTATTATTTTATTATGACCGGTCCGACCCGGTCTGACCACGGTCTGACCACGGTCCGACCAGTAACCCTTGACCCACTGTCTGGACTGGTTGAGTTTCCGGTCCGGTTTTTTGTTCCTTGTTTTTCATAACTGATAATATACCCTTTACTTCACCATTATACAATTAATATTTGTATTCAATAGGTATTACGGCCACACTTCCCCCCCCCCATGAGGTATTACCCCCACACATATATAAAAGAAGTGTTACATAATCTATCATTCACTATTATAAAAAGATCAATTTTCGCCTCTTCTAAAAACCTTTTTTTGTCTGTTTATGAAGAGACATTGATAAAAGAGATGTAGATGGTATGTATTTATTCATCTATTAAAAATAGATGAAAAAAATCTCTATTTTCGTATGTTCTGCCTAGAAAAGATGAAAATAGTGTAGTATTTTCATTTGTTCTAGGCAGAATAGACAAGAATTTTTTTTTTTTTTTAAAGTGAAGCGTGGATTATTTATATTGTTAGTTTTGATATAACCTATAACTGTAGAAAGTGCATGCAAAACCAAAACAGACAGTAGTCCACAACAATGATAGCAATTCAGTAGAACAAAATTAAATCATTTCACTTTCCGTACAAATAATCTACAATTTTAAGGGTGAAAACAATGACAAGTTTACATAGCACCCTACAATAACATCCTAATTAAACATCCTAACACAAGTTTATATAATGAATCTGAAATAGAAACATGTGAACCAGCTAGCATGAAAAAACTAAATAAATTATTAAGATTAAATATTAGTAAAATAACAATTTTTTTGGATAACGATCAAAATGCATTAATAATAAAATAAAAGATACAAAGTCAAGTAAGAAAGCTTGTAAATAACAAACAAGAATTAAGCAAGATCCTCTTACTCTATCCTAGAAGCTAATTTTTACACAAGAGAAAGAGGGAAAAAAAAGCAAGTAAAGCTAAAATATCTTGGTACAACAAGTAGAGTTAAATTTAGAGAGTGAAATTAAAAAACACAAGAAAAGGAAAACACAATAAAATATATATCGTCAATTTAAGAGATGGTGCAAAAGAAAAGAATATATGTGTGTGTACCTAGAAGAATGATGCATGCAAACAGCTTGTAAGCTCCTCTCCAATGGACTTCCTTTGTCTCTATTTGCACCGCAAGTGCACGGGTTGTGATAAGTTATAAAGTGATGAGAAAAGATCACTCTCATGAAGATTTGTGCAAAAATCAAGACCAAACAAAAGACTAAGTGAATTTAATTAAGTTGAGCTAAAAAATTTTTGACGAGAAAAGTGAATTTTGAAAGCAAATCTTAAAACTACAAAGTACTGAAAGTAATTGATTCTCAGACTTTAAGGGATAAAAGGGCCCAGGATTATTCATTCCCCTATATCATAACCTTTGATTTATCTCCTCAATAATGTTCTTAATGAAAATATGGGTTAGTGTAGGATTCAAAAAGTATTTACAAAAGCTTTCTCAAGTCAAGCACAAGTATTTAATTCCATTAATTGCTCAATCTCTTGTCACAATTAATAAAACCCAGCTTTTAAGCTTCAATCCTAAAGTGACTATGCAAGGTTGGTAAGTATATCTCTATCTTACCAACAAAATTATCCATTCAGCAAGCAAACTTCAAATTCTTGCATAATTTTACCCAAGCTCTACACTTAACCTAACCTTCTCAAGTATCAATCAAGCGAACAAAACAACTAAACGGTGATCAAGCATTTAGAAGCATTAAGAAATGAGTAAAATAAACACACACACACACACACACATCATTAATCACAAAATAAGAGAAGTAATCAAGAGTTAATCCATATAAGGGTTCAAAATAATCCCAGAATAAAGTGTTTGACTATTCATAATCAACCATAAGCCACAACTATAAAGAAAACTTACAGCCATAGCAGATTACAAGAAAGGAAAGGGAAGAATAGCAGGAAAACCAAGAAGAAGGGGCTCCAAATCTCTTCCAAAGCTTAATTGCTTGCTCCAAGCTCTTCAATCTCCCAAAACCCTAGCACACTGGCTCCCTAAAGGTCCAAATCTCCCTTTTTTTATCCTTTCCTTGTGTTTTTATCGCCCCCTTTAGACCTAGAATTTGTGCTGTCCTTAAAACGCATAGTACCAATAGTTTCTCACTGGTTGCAGCCAATTCCTTTCTGTATCCTCTGTTGGCTGCAGCCAAAAGTTTCTGTTGGCTAAGGCCAACAGCTCACTGTTTTGGATCTCTTTGCTTAATTTTTTTCTTCATGCCATCACTCTCTAAGCTTCTTTCCACTCCAAGGGGAATAATATTTGCTCCAATTGGCTCCATTAGCAAGCTTCAACTACCTAAGAAAACAAAATAACTATGAAAGCCAAAGTTGATGAACTAGGGGCAACATATTAACAATTAACCATAAATCCATAACTCTAGCCCAAGTATCAACTATGCACATTTTCCTATCACAAATGCTTCCAAATATTCATTAATTCACCAAAGAGTAAGATAACTAAGGAAAAAGGTGCTGAAATAACATGAATTTTACAAGGTTAACAGTCTCAAATAACAATGAAGCTTTATCACCGTTAGCTACAACTTCTCTCTCAGCTACGACTTTCCTCTCTTCTGCTTCCTTTCCTACTCTCATCTTGTGAAGCCTGTGATGTATATGTGCGTGTGCGTCTCTGTGAGAGTTTCACATGGAGGAACAATGAGCATATACATATATGGTCCTCTCTAGTATCGTAATTTTTCACCATACTTGTGTGTGTACACCACAATATTGTCTATCATGAGAGAAACATAACAATTAGCCACAATATAATCCACGCTCACTATACACAAATAAATATTGTACTAGCTCAATTAATGTTCACAGTACCATATTCAAATTAATATATCCATATGTAACTTGGTTTTATATGGCCGAAGCCTTATAGTCCAATGAAATTAATACATTTTTGCTCTATTTTTTTTATAATCCTGGCATTCTTCTGATTATACTAAAAAAAAAAAAAATTAAAGGTGCTATCCTCAATATGCTTAAATAGCATTGATAATTTGTAAAATTCAACATGAAGATTAAATAATCTTCCTCTTAAGTTTTAGTCCTTAATATGTTGAGAATACTTAATTAACTATCCTATTCCAACCAAATTCCTCTCATAGACATTTTTGCAAACACCTTATGTGCATTAATACTTTAACAAGTTTACCAAGCTTTTAATTTTTAAATGCTTTGCACAATCAATATTCGATGTTGCCTAAATTCAATTCTTTACCAACAATCAATTTAAACAAAAAACTTTCAACACCCACAACATTTACGGTCAATGCTTTCAACACCCACCAACCTAAATAATCACTTACCTTTCAACACAATATAACAACTACACATAAAATAACTTGCCCAGCTCAAGTTGCATTGTGCGTCACGTGCAAGCTAAGAATGGGGAGAGATCATCGCGTGCAAGCTAATAATGGAGAAGACTGGTGCACTGAGTTGAGAATGGGGAGACAATCTCATGCGACGCCAGGAAAAGAGAAAAGAAGAGGAGGAAGTTGATACTGAGAATGGAGAATAATGATTTGCGACGCCTAGGAAATAGGAGAGGAGAAAAAGCTTTGTTCGTTGATGTGGCGTTGCTGTGTGTCATGAGAGTGAGCTAGGGCACTGCAGAAAATTTTTTATAAGAATGATGACCTCATACTCATCTATTTCAAAGCAAATAGGCCAGTATGAATGCTCATATTCATCTATTATGATGTAACAGACAAATATGAGTGCTCATAATCAATTGTTTTGTCTTCATAGATGAGTATTAAGAATTTTTTTCCTTCTGATTTTCAAAACAGACAAAAATAGATATTTTTGGAGTAGTGATTAATTTTTTAAATTTTAATAAAATTTTATTAGGTTTAAAGCATATATTTTGCCCTTCAAGCATACATGAGCATTTGATACCTAAAACTTTTCTATAGTGCAAAGTTATAAGAACTTTGCAATGTTCCTCTTACCGTTAATTAAATGGCGCGGACGTCTATTTAGCAAAAGACATGATTGCCTTATTGCTAAAAAGAAAAAAAAGACATGATTTCTTGACAGAATAAGAGCACGCAGTGTGGGATGTTACGTTTTTGTACCAGACGCAAGCTGAGGTCTTTTATCTTATGCTTTACCTTTTTGATTCAAATTTATAAGTCACCCATAACCATACATTCTTGAACAATATAGTCTGCTGATAGTAAAAAAAAGAGAAGACCGTGGCTATCGGTATTAAGGAAGCAGTAATGGTAGAGAGGGGTCACATGGAACCCTAGAATTAAGTTTCAATCATGATAGGCATAGCGGGTTTCATCATATTCTCTAGTAAGTCATTGCCTTGAAGCAAAACAATTACTTCAGACATTGATGGCCTTAATTCAGCAGATGCTTGGGTGCAAAGCAAACCAATCTCTATGATTTTCTTCACTTCTTCTGCATTATAATCATTAGGATCCAAGGTATCATCCACCAACTCTATGTGTATGCCTCTCTCATATAGTTTCCAAGCCTATAAAGTGAATTAAAGGGAAATGGAATAAGAACCAAAACTTTGGGTGGTTAAATTAGTCCTTCATGTTCTCAAATGGAACTACCATTTGTTTACAAATCATAGAAATGTACTTACTTTTTTAAGGAGATATTCACCTTCAAAATCACCATGGATCTGCAATTTATTGCATTTTTCACCACTGATAATTTCTAGGATGACAACACCGTAGCTATAAATATCAACTTTTTCTGATAATTGACCATAAACTACATATTCTGGTGCGGTATATCCTCTGTAAAAATACATCATGTTTATGTCGTAGATGATGATGGATTAAATTAATGCAAGAACAATATTTTGAATATGAAATAGACATATACAATGTAAATGTTGCATCATGAGTGTCATCAATATGAATTCTTATTATTTTGACTTACAATGTTCCAGCAAATTTTGTATCAAGATCTGGTTTGTCTTCTAGTAAAAGCCTTGCTAAGCCAAAATCAGCAATTCTTGGATGTAAATCATCGTCTAAAAGAATGTTGTTAGTCTTTATATCTCTATGTATGATGCACACATGAAGTTCTTCATGTAGATAAGCCAAACCTTTTGCTGTTCCTAATATTATATCATACCGTTGCTTCCAACCAAGAGAACCTCTATTTTCACCTATTTCACAATTTATGCACTTTAAAGGGTTGAGGAAAAAGAATAGTATTTGTATTAAAAAACTTTTCAACAAGACATTGAGATGGGAGTTCTTGAATGAGATCATGACATGTGAAATGAATTGTTTTCATAGGAGTTGGTGATATATTTGTAGAAAATATGTCCACATGTCATGATTTTACAAAGAAATCCAATAGCTTAAGATTAAAGAACTATAAAGTTTTGTTGGCAAATAAGATATACCAAATAAGAATTTGTCAAGACTGGTATTTTTCATATATTCATAAATAAGAATTCTCTCATTGCCTTCACTACAATATCCAAGAAGTTGAATAAGATTCCGATGATGAATATTGCTAATAAGCTTCACTTCACTTTCAAATTCTTCTTCCACCTTCTTAGACTTGCGTAAGTTTAATTTCTTTACAGCAACTATTTTCCCATTCTGCAAGGTACCCTGCTTACAAATGAAGATTAAGAATGTCAACCCCAAAAGCGTTACCATAAGTTTTGCTTATTTACAACACTAACGAAAGTAGTGCCTTGTATTCATCCTTGCTTTGGAACATGGTATAAATAAATATTGAAACTCAAAATCTATAGTTACCTTATATACAGCACCAAATCCTCCTTCTCCAAGCTTATTTTTTGCACTGAAACCTTTAGTGGCAAACTTCAACTCCCTATAGCTAAAATTAATCAGGCCTTTCCACTTACTTACTCCATATATGTCTCCTGTCAAGGAAAACATTTATCAAATTAAGTTGCTTCATAAATCAAGAAAAAGCGGTTAGCGATTCCTTTTTTCATAGAATGAATTAAAGTCCACAACGTTTTCTTTAATTTGAAGAGAAAATGTGGCAAAAGCATCACGTTAATAAATCATTACAATAAGTCTCCCAATAAATATAATCAGCAAGAGATTCATCTTTCATACTTTATATAGCATTTTCTTTTGGAGAAAACTATATATGTCACTGAAAAACAAAGCATATATATGGCGTTAAATCATGGATCTCAAATTGAATAATAAAGTCTTTCAAATTTGCCTTATACCTCTATGAATCCTCTTGGACGACTTCAATCGTCTGTACAAAGCAAATAATGCGAGGAGAATCAAAAGAAAAGATCCACCTCCAACCCCTCCCCCGATAATGGCCTCTTTCTTCCTTGAACCTCCCCCTGCAAGTCACAAGAAGAAGAAAATAAACACAGACTCAGACACAGACACAAGTAAATCTCACTGGAAAAGTAATTCCAAGCTTTTATAAGAGAGAGAGAGAGAGAGAGAGAGAGAGAGAGTGTGTACCTTCTTTCAAGAAGGGATTAATATTAATGGTTTGATTATCAGCAAAGAAGGCTGTGGTGGAGTATCTCATGAAACAACCAGCATCATAAGTCTTAGCATTTGAGTTGGGAAGACAGATCTGGAAATTTCTTAAGGCAATGTTGAGGCAATCCTGGCAGCCAACTTGTGTGAGAGTTTCAATACATTGAGCAATGGCATAAATGTTTGAGCCATTACTGTTAGGCACAGGCGTCTTAGTGGCTGCATAAAAACCACTGATTCTTGGGGCTGCTATGTCCAGATTCGTTAGAACTTGTTGCACAGTTGAAGAAAGTCCTGTGGTGTTTCTGATCGTCTGATTCCCACAGATTATGTTGTTCCCAGCATCTGTGTTCTGATCGAAGAATCCACTGCTCTCATACCTTTGTACGATACAAAAACATGAAACACAAGTAATGTAATATCTATTGTATCTATATCTCTGCTGCTACTATCATACTCCCCAGTCCTAAGTATAAGACCCTTTTTATAGTGTGTATAAGGGTCTTATTTTAGGACCGGAGGAGTATAATAATAACTATTTCTTTTGTGTGTTTCTGTATCTATAAACTTAGGTTGTGCCTGTGCGTATGGCTTCTCAAGATTTATTTTCTTCATTAAATTGAACTTGTTATTTGGGAAAAGGACATTAAAAGAACCTGGAATTCACAAAAAGAAAAACTCCAAAATGATGTGATGAATTTCCACATCTAAACAGAATATTGAAATTCAGCTTAAAGAAATAAATACCCCTCACTTTAATTTTTTTTTTCTTTTTAAAAAAGTAACAGCCACCTTGCCAACAATCAGCCTCACATCACCGGCGGAAGGAATTTTTTGTAGCAAAGTGGTGACGTAGGATTTGGAAGCAAAAAATTAAAAGTTACCGCATTGAGTCACTAGTGTATAATTTTTAACAAGTCAATATGAAATAATGTACAAGTTAACTATTAAACTTTGACTCCATGTTATTTATAACACCTCTATTTGTTTATTTATTTATTTTAACAAGTTTGAAATTTCAAAAATGAAATTATTAATTGTTAAACTATTATAGTAGTAGTGAATTGTAGAAATTGTTAAAAAAAGTTGAAAATTACCTGTAATCAAAGCATAATAATTAACTTATTTTATTATGCGAAATGTTAATGGGTCAATGGTCCCCTAACTTTTTGACATCCAAGTTTCTAAAGTAACGGGCTTTTTTTTTTCAGCTGAATTTCAATATATATTTCATTTAGATGCTCCAATTGCTAAATGAAATCGTGAAAATTCAACACACCATTCTGATATTTTGCAAATTTCGGACTTTTTGTTGTCTTTTTCCCTTGTTCTTTTTTTAAGAAGGACACAGTTAAGCTTTTGCTTTTTGTTTTTTGGGTTTACTCAAGTGAGCATCTGTGCAAAATATCTAAACTGATTATTGATAAAAAATAACATGTACCAAAGCCTATTTGGGTTTTAATTCTCCTTTAAAGGACAGCTTAGTTACAGGGCCTTTCCTCTATCATAAGATATAAATAAATTCGATAAAACAAAATTTCCAAAAATTGCGTGGCATAACTAATTATATATAAATAATAATCTTTGTTTAATCAACAATAATTTATCATTTTATCTTTTGCCTCTTTGGGTATGTGTCTATAAGGAGGAGGGAAGGTTGGAGTTGTACCTGAGGAAGCAACCTTCGTAGATGATACGGGCACCGGCGACGCCGACAGAGCAGTTTCGTATATGAACGGCGGCGAAGTCGAAGCAAGCGAGGCAATCTTTGATGGAGAGGCAGTTTCTGCACTGGAAAAGGCCGTACGCCGGATTGTTACCCTTCACGGCCTGCGCCGTCGCGAAGTGCTTGCTCTGGTTGCTGATTTGAGCTCTCAGGTCTCTCAGAGTTATGTTTAAGTTGTCACTGAAGATGGACAAGTCACTCACGTTGTACTGGGTGCACCCTAGTTTTACGAAGTTGGTCTGTGGGTCCGAAACGACGCCGTCAAGACTCCACCATGACCATGACCAAATCATCAAACTTAAGTAAAAGCAGACGAACTGGGGCTTTTGTTGCAGGTGCAGCAACATGGTGTTCTTTCTCTATACTTAGCTTGCAGAAGAGAGAGAAAGAGTTAATAGAGAAGGTGCGGAGTTGTGAAGGGTGGGACACTATTTGTGACGTGAGAAGCAGGGACCATCAAGTTTGAAAAAGACGACAAATTGTGTGTGTGTGTGTGTGTGAAGATAGTTGTGTAGCTTAAAAACGAAGGATCTGACGTGTTCTATCTTCTGTTAAAACCATTTATATATACATACACACACACACACACACATATATCCTTGGTTGAATTTGGATAGGCCATTTTTTAAACTGAGTTTATTAGCCACTTTTGGTAACTAAAATAAATTTTCATCAAATAGTGATTTGCAAATCACATTGTCAGTTCATAATAGAAGTTGTATAAATTGGGACAACTAAATTAGATTAAATCATAATTTATTACTACATTCGCTTCTTATTATAAGAGCTAGTTTGAATTTCAGTTTGATTCTAAATATAAAATCTCAATCTCCTTTATCTTTTATATTTGTCTATTTTTTTAAAAATAATCTTTATAATAGTTGCACATATTAAAGGTTCTATAGTTTTATCTAATATACATAATTAATAAGGGTATTTTAGGAAAGATAATACATATTTATTGCAAATAACTAACTTAACAAATTTTCTTAATCAACTCAAATTATTCAATTAGCTCATATATATATATGTAAGGCACATGAACTTATAAAATTCCATTATTATATATATCAGGCAATAATTGTGCTTTTTGGGCGTTTTATTTGGGTATTCATTAGCACTTAGCATGTTGCCCAACTGAGGTAAATAACGTATTGGGTTCTCTTGCAATATCCTATCATTTTTCCACGTTCAATATGAGTTTTGCTCTGTGTCCCATGAGATCAAAATACTGAGCTATGATCGATCATAAAATTTAAATAGTTTTAATTAAAAAATAATCTTAAATAGCCTAGTGTTGAAATCATTGCATGCAATGCATACGTGGGAAAATGAATCAATAACAAGTTTGAAAATATCGAGAGAGTAAAAAAAGGAAGCTAAGACTTGCAAATAACAAAAAGAGAAGAAAAACTTAAAATGGGATATTGAAATTGAAGCACAATTACATAAATGCCCCTCATATTTTAAGAAAAAAGGTTCTAAACTCCCTCACTTCCGGTGGCTGACCACCACCTATATAAAAGCTGTACATGGCATGAAAGAGTGGTTTTGGCATTTGCAAAACAAAAGTTATTAGTACCTATTGCAAATCAATAATTATACAAAAATTGCAAATGACTTAAAAGAGTGGCTTTATTATATGCTGAATGGAAGTTGTTAATACTTATTGAAATATAGTTAATACCTATATGAAAGTTGTGAATGACTTGAAAGAGTAACTTTGTTACTTGCTAAATAAAAATTGTTAATACTTATGTAAATATAGTCAATATCTATGCAAAAATTGTGAATGATGAGTAATCAAAGTTAAATAGCTAAGTATTTTTTTTAGCTTTAAATTAATAATAAAGCATTGGTGGCCAAATGATTACTCTTAATTTTGATACAAACTATGAATCATGGTGGAATCAATTCGTACCTCCACCACTTTTTCCAAAAGAAAATTCCACTTTAAGCTGTGGTAGGATCAAATCCTCTGTCCATCACTTTCTTCCAAAAAATTCACTTCCTAAGAAAATTTCTCCCACTGGCACCACCTCACCGGAGCTCGAGCCTCCAATAGTGGCTTGCCATAGGTGGTGTCCTCAGCAAGGGTGTTGAGAACCTTTTTTTTTGTTTGTTTAAATATGAGGGGCATTTATGTAACTGTGTTTTAATTTCAAGGTCCCATTTTAAGTTTTCCTTTCCTTTTTGTCATTTGCTATTTTTTTTTGGGTATTTTGATATTTTCAAACTGCTTTTTAGATCATTTTTCCATGCACATACATATCTTAAATATTATAGTATCTTTAGTCCTATTTATAAGACATCGTTTATAGTATACAAACCATACTTTATAAATAGAATCGGAAATAGTATACATATTCTCGCGTGCAAAAGTGCACTGAATGTATACTTTTGTCTTGTAATAATTATTACCTAAACGGATCACAATAAAAGGCAAATTACCGGTAGGATGGAGCCGTTTTTAACTTTTTTCCACAATTTCTCGTCATCAAATTCGTGAAGGATGCAATATAAATATAACAGCAATATACGGAAATGATATTTTACCCAAAAAAAAAAAGCAATAAAAAATGGAATTTACAGTACGGAAGTTCTGGGACCCACATGTTTTGAAGTGTGTGTGGGCCCATTGCTTTGCTTTGCATCTTGGATCGATTCTGGTCTTATTCAAAGGATGGGCTTGACTCGTTCAAACGTCTATGGGTAAGTTGGTAACACTAATGAGAGAGACACAAAAGAATTATGAATTCCCCTTGTAACGTCACAATTCAATAACAAACTCTCTATTCTACGCCTGTCACTTTCTTCACTCTAGACGAAGTCAAATTGATAAATTTGATTAGACTATTTACAATTTTTTTTAAAATAAAAAAAATAGAAAGGCCATGCGAAAACATAGCTAACTATGCATATAACTCATTACGGAAATCATCTGAAAGTAAATTCCTAAAATCAAATACATCTAAGAATATTTGAATGTGATTCTATAGTATCAAACACTAGATGGCTTCACATGACGGAGTAAAAACATCACTAACTTACAATGGAGAACTCTAATTTCAATCGTAGTGCTAATTGAATCCAGAATGGTCTTGAATCTGTGGACCATCATGTTTGAAGGCTCTTTTAAAAAGAAGTTGAAGAGCATATCACATAAGCAAAGAATTAAAGGAAAATTTAATAAAGTATTTGTAAATATTTTGATTAAATGAATGATAAATAAATTATATTATAAATATAAATACTTTTTTATTGAAAAAGTTTATATTATAAAATTTCGAGTGTTGGAAAGCAAAGCTGCTTTAATAGTGATAAATAAGTGAATTCAGCTTCTCCATGAATAAGAAAAATGAATGACAAAAAAGGATGGAAAACAAAATGATTGTGGCAATTTCGTCAAAGGGTATCGTGGTCAATTAATCATTTTTAATTTTGTCCTTCCATATAAAATATGAATATGTTCTTATACTTTTAAAATAAATATGGACTAGTATGTCATTCAATGTAATTCTTCCAAGATTATTTCCTAACGCGGTGAACATAAGGTTTCTAATTAAACTAAATATTATTAAATTATTATGCATGTTATACTCCTCTGGTCCTTAATATATGAGCTAATTGTGGAGTTGATATTAGTATTATATATAATATCTATTCATATATTTATTAATTTTTTAAAATTAATCCTATTAATATTTCCTTAATAATAATTAAGTATGAGATAGAAGGAGGGAATTAAAAACCCGGGGGTGTGGTTGAGCGGTGGGGGCTCATCCTCCCTTAACCAAGTGTCGAGGGTTCGATCCTTGCCTTGGGCATGAAAAAGCTTTAAAAACCCGGGCCAGCTGTCCCATCCATCGAGGTGCCTACAAGCCAGCGAAGGGATTAGTCACCGGGTCCACCGGTGGATACCCTGATGTTTCATCAAAAAAAGAAGGAGGGAATTAAGAAACATACTTAGGTTGTTTTAAAAAAAGACATATCATATTAATCAATATAACTAATATTTTTAATCTACCCAAATGAGTTAATTATGTCTTAAATTAAGGACCAGTATATACATGAATCTTTCCTTCATTATATTTATAATTAAATACATGGAATTCAGATTCAAATGGCACCACTTGCAAATAAAAAAACACGCAAAATTTGATAAATAAGCCACATTTTTACCAACTTATATGAACGGTGGATCTTGCAAGAATATTTTTTTAATACAATAAAAATCAGACAACTAAGTTCATATTAAAGTTCTGACATGATATTACTACATATAAAGAAAAACAAATAACTTCACTTGCATAATCATTTAAAATAAAATTGGATTTGGGAAAAAGAGGTTGTCATATATAAATTAACCAAACTTTAAGTTACATTAATATGGTTTACTCAACATTGTACACTAAAATTATCGACTGATACATAATTTTTAAGGATTGATATATGATTACAAACAAAAATATTGAAGAATAATGGAATAAAGGACAAGCATTCTTCCTGTTCGATGTTAGTTCTTATTCCGTTCTTGGTTCCAACACTCAAAAGTCCATCACATCGATATGTAATTCCTCCAAAATGCAAACGACTATCTTTCTGACAATATAATTCGAGACCCCGAAACAATATTGGGCGAGGAAAAATGAGAGAAAGTTGAGAGATGTAGTCATAAGCATTAGTACAGTTTGTTCCATGGGCCCTAGTTAGTTAGTTTCAACCAAGAAGGCATAGTTGGCCTCATATTTTCAAACAAACTTTCTTTTGCAGCGAGACGACAACTGCGGACATTGTCGGCCTTATTGCAGCTGATGCTTGGGTGCAAAGCAAACCAATCTCAATTATTTTCTCTACTTCTTCTGCAGCATAGTCGTTAGAGTCTAAAGTATTGTCCACCAACTATAAATGCATGCCTCTTTCATATAGTTTCCATGCCTAACAATAATTGGGATTAAAAGTTAAGCAAAATATATAACCGGGATGGAAATGCAAAGAAAAACTTGGTTAATTTTTAAGGTTTTTGTTATTTTTAGATTCTCTAATAATAAAGGGGAAAAAAAACCGCTTTCACAAGATCTAACCCAAAAGCATTATATCTGTTGATTTACTAAATGAATTCCCATTTCAAAACCTCCTTCAAAAATAGTATTTTTAAATGCTTATATAAATTTTCTTACCTTCTGAAGGAGGAATTCACCCTCGGCTTCACCATTAACATTCAATTCTTCACTTTTTCGACCACTAATAATTTCGAGGACTACAACTCCATAGCTATAGATATCAACCTTTGAAATGTGACCTATCTTGCTTACACCTTAGGGTCAAATTCAAAATTAAAACCAAG